AGACCCAATACTATTATGGACTACTGGACTCTTAGGATATTTTGCTGAGTTCACACACCTATAATATTTAAATGATGGAACTAAACAAAAAAAAGGGGATTTAGATGAATGTCTACTTTGTATCTTGTGTATTCAAAATGGTTAGGATATATAGCTACATTCTCTTAATTCAAGGAATAGAGAGATTTGTTCTAATAGTGTTTGTAAATAAGGTATCATTTCTGCACCTTGTACAACAACCACTAGGAAGGCAGTATGCAATGTTATTGGAACTGTCCTACCAATTTAATTTGAAACTGTCTCATTGCTATTTCTCAATAAAATTATGGAAAAAAAATGCAAACCTTCTGGGGCTGTTATTTCTATCCTAGAGTATCCTTGGAAGATCCTCAAGGCACTTGAATACAACTGCCATCTAAATTAGGAACAATTTTTAAGCAACACCGATTTTATGAAGCAGTTTAATTTCGGAGAGGTTGAAATGTGAAGACTCAAGTGTATTTATAGATAATGAAATTGGCAAAAATAAAATGGGTTGTGTAACTTCCAAAAAAACCCCAACACTCCAAGAGTAGTATCCAATTCTGAGTTTTTAATCTCAACTCCATGGGCAGGCCCAGGCCGAGTAGCCAGGGGCCCGGGCTGTTCTCCTTTCAGGCCCCACAGCCAAGTGCCGTCTCGGTTTCTCACTTCACATCGCCATCCTGGGGTCCAGCTCCCTCCTCTCGTCAATCCTCGATGGTGACACCTTCTTCCCAGCTTCCTCTGTGCCACTTTGAGGGACACCTCCTTTACAGCCAACGCATCCTTAGGTTTTCTCCTGGGGCAGTCAGCCGTCTAGGCTGGGGCTCTTGCCCCCTGACTCAACCCCCATCACCACAGCCAGCAATGCCTCTGTAAGAGGCCCGGCCTCCTCACCTGCTGCCTCCACGAGCCCCACAAGGGCCAGGGCCCGCTTCCTCGGGCACCGCTCGGGCCCCAGTGTCCAGCGTGCACAGTGGGCAGCTAGTCGGGGCCGGCCCAGGCGGAATACCTCACCCACTGATTCTGGGGTACCGTCGGGACCCAGGTGGATGCGGCCCACAGCTTCTTCCAGCTCCTCCTCAAGCCCAGGCAGCAGAAAACGGCCAGCAGCCTCTAGGGCCTCCTCAGCCTCTGAGCCCAGCAGGGACTGCCCTGCTGGAGGCACGGGCCCCAGTGCAGCCCCACAGCCCCGGCAGCCATGCAAATGATGCAGGATAGGCCAGGCCGCACTTGGTGACAGGCCTCGCAGGGGCACCAGGTCCATCTGGGCTTCGGCAAAGCTGCCGGACAACAGGGCCCTGAAGAAAGGGGAGGCAGCTGCTGAGGCCGCTCGCAGAGCAGGGAGCTGAAGCCCTGAGTCCAGCAGGAAGTACAGGTCAGGGGCAGGGGTGGGGGTGGGGCCCAGCAAAGGTTCATAGAGACAAAGGGGCGGGCGGTCTGCATCCATGGGGACTGCAGCTGGGAAGGCCGGGCTCATGGTAGGAGACACCAGGCCTTGCAGGCAAAACAGGGAGTCTGCAGCGAAGAAGAGGAAGAGCGGGTGTGGAGCCGGCCGAGTTAGCGCAGTGAGGAAGAGGCGGAGGCCGCCCTGGTCCAGAAGTAGTCTGCGCCAGAGAGCGGGCTTCCTGCAGGAATAAAGCGAACCTGTCAGCTGATGCACAAGGCCGGGTCTGGGGAACAGAAACCTGGCTCCCCTTAGCCTGACCCGGCACCCACAGCCCCCTCACCGGCAAATGAAGGGCAGGGTCAGTGCGCAGGCTACTCGATCCTCAGTGCTCCCGGAGAGCAGCAGGTGGGTGAGGGCACCTACTCCGAAGGGTGACTCGGCCTGGACAGTCAGGTTCTGCAGCAGCATCTCACCTGCAGGACGGGCAGAGTGGGTCAGCTGGGAGCACTGCAAAGCCTGGTGTGGGACAGGCACAGAGGGGACCCTTGCAAGGGACAGTGGAACTTCAGGGTGACACATCAAGGCGCAGCAGGGGGCAATGACTGCAGGCCTCGAGGTGTGTGGGGTGAGGACGCTAGAACTAGAAACCAAGACCAAGAACAGAAAGTAGACGCTCACAGTGCAAGTCCCAGCCCTCCAGGACTGACAGTCTACAGGGAGAACACAGACAGGGCAGTCCCAACAGGGTTGGAAACTGTGGCAAGGCCTTAGAGAACGTGGTGCGTGGCCTGGGTTCATAAGCCAGTGTGGACAAGGTGGACCCCAGAACAGAGTGGGCAAAGAAGTAGAGACGGGGGATGAGCCACTGCTGGAGCCAAACCTGGCATCCAGTTACCTGGGCCCCAAGGTTTGGAGAGGGGACAGGATATAACTGTGTGGGGGGCTATGGAGCAGAAGGGAGAGCTCTGTGCCCTCCCCTTCTCCCAAGGCCCCCAATACCTCTTGGGCCACAGGCTACAGAGGACAGCGAGAGGGCCGGTGAGCAAAGGGCCAGGCAGAAGACAGTGCCTCTCCTGCAGGGGTGGCAAGCTAGGAGACGTACATATGCACGTACCCAGCTCTCGGTGCTGGTTTCGGCGCACGGGCCGGGCCCGGGGTGCAGGCCAGTCCTCAGGTGAGATGCCGAGCACGAGCCAGGCCCGCAGCAGCGCTGCCCCGTAGCTTCGCACGAAGGCCTCGAGGCAGGCGGGGTTGCAGGTGAGGCGTGCCAGGATGCGGAGTGCTCGGGGGCTGGGTGGGCCCGGAGCACCTGTCACATAGGCCAGCAGGCCACATAGCGCCGGGCCAGTCACGAGCGCCCCGCTGGGGTCAGGGGCCTGCGAGAAGCGGGACAGCAGCAGCAGTGCTGGCCCCTCCCGGCCCCAGGGCTCCTCGGCAGCAGCAGGGGCAGCAGGGCTCCGGCCCAGCGTGCGCAGAGTGCATGGCGTCCTCAGTGAGGTCTTCCCGGGGGTGGTAGGGACAGGGTCGGTGGGCTCTGGCAGTGGACAGTGCTCAGGAGACCAGTCTGGAGAAATGTCACCAGCGTAACCCTCGGAAATCAGCCATGACCTGCAGAAGGCAGAGAGAAAAGGAGCCTAAACCCAGAGCCAAGCAAAGGAACAAGTGAAACAGGAGCGTTCCTGGGGGAGGTGCGGGTGACAGGCAGGGGAATGTGGAGACTCAGAAGGGCGGAACAGCCTGGCCTGGTGGCGCACGCCTATAACCCCAGCACTTAGGAGGCTGAGGCAGGAGGTTTCCAAGTTTGAGACCAGCCTGGGCTACAAAGTGAGCTCAAGGCCAGCCTGAACTGCAGAGTGAGATTCTGTCTCAAAAAGACAAAAAGAAAGGATAGAATAAAACCAAACCTCACTCACAATGCCTGACGCCTCTCATGTGCCAAGCACTCTTTTAACTACTGGGGAGAAGCGTGGGCCAAAGCAGAATTCCTGTTCTCCTGGAGTTTATGTTCTTTCCAGGAGAAACAGATGACATATGCAAACTGTATGGTTACTGCGACCTCAGTGAGGTGTGAAGTGTTAACACAGTGGGAAAAAGGGCACTCAGCGGCAATGGCGCAGCTGAACAAAGGCCCCATGGAGCAGCACAAAGGCTCACAGGAAGAAAAGCATCTTAGGTGAGCACAGCAGAGGCCCAGACAGCACCTTCCTATGGCGCCTGAAAGCCAGGAAGGTAGCTGGAACGAGGTGGGGCCAAGAAGAGCCGCCCTGGTGGAGCCACAGGGCGCACCACAAGGCTGACTCTCAGTGACCACTGCTTGGTGCCACGCCAAGGACAAGGTGCCCTCGCTGCACCTTTACGGTGACAGTGATGCTGTGGGATATGCAGGCTGCAAGCTCCCATTTACAGCGCAGGGATGAGAGGCTCAGAGAATTCGCTGCCCTGGACGTTTCAGCTTCTAAGCAACGGTAAATGAGTAAGGACTTGGGCACCACCGCAGATTACCATGGTAACCAGTGCACCTACCCTCTCCCAACGAGCCTCTCTGGACCCCAAAGCCCAGAGGCAATGCAGGGCCAAAGCCAACAGGAAGATCACTCAGGAAAGAGGAGGTCTGTTTAATGGTGACTCAGAAATGAACAAGGAATCAGTGAGAGTTAGTAAAAGCCTTCCTGAGCTACAACAGAGGTGAGGGGAATGAAGGGACCCAGAACAGACCCCGCCCCGCAAGCCCAGAGCCGAGGACTCGCCTGAGGCTCCGGAAGCCTCCAGCCTCTGCCCGCTCAGGGGTCCGTTCCTCTGGGAAGTCCCAGGAAGCAGCTTCTCTTCCTTCCTCTTCCTCTTCGCCGGTGTCACCACACAGTTGCCCAGCCAGGAGAGGCACAAGTCCCAGAGCCTGCAGCCGGCCCAGGGCCCCAGTATCGTAGAGGAAGCCCACCAGAGCGGCCACAACTCGTGGATGCCAAGCACTGGCACGAGGGTCCTGCAGCAGGCCCATCAGGAGCTCAAGGCCACCAGCATCCCGCAGACGGGCTCGGTTGATGGCTTCCCGGCATAGGAGGCACACAGCCCGCACTAGGGGCTGCTGAGAAGCTGGACTGGCCCCGCTGGGGCCGCGGCGTTGCCGGAGCTCACCAAGTAACACCTCCACACCACCAGCATTGCCCAGTGCAGGCCGTACCAGGCCCTGGGCACAAAGGTTGGCAAGGATCAGGATGGTTGTTTCTCGAACCAGGCGTTTCGGGTGAGAAGCCAGGCTGACAAGTGGGCCCAGGCCCCCACCCAGACTGAGCTGCTCGGCACAGGCCCGGGAACAACCTCGGCTGAGTTCCAGCAGGGCACGCACCAGGGCTGAGGTCAGCGCGGGGTCGGGGGCAGCGGCCAGGAGCTCGGCCAGTGGGCGCACAGCTCCCTGCTGTGCCAGGGCCAGGCGGTGCTGGGGTGAGTCCGCCAGGTTGCGGAGGGCACGCACCACGCTCTGCAGGCACTGAGAGTCCTGGCAGGCAGTCAGGCTCTCCACGAGCAGGGGAACAGCACCTGAGGGGAAAAGAGAGGACATGGAGTAAGCAAAGACAGACGCCCGCCGGCTCCCGCCCCAACCCTTGTGAGCCCCAACCTCGAGCCTTCTCACCAGCAGAGTGGATCTCGCCACAGCTCTCTGGTTCCATGGCCAGGTTCCCCAGCGCGCGAGCCGTCCGGTTCTGGATGCTGTCTGTCTTCACACACTGCAGAATGGTCACTGCAAGGGAAGCGTGGTCACTCATCAGCCACCTCAAGAACGTGGCTACTCAGCATCAGGACAGGCCTTGAGACGATGCTAACACACGAGCTGGGACCGGAAGCCTAAATAAGAATCTGCCAGGCAGGGGTGGTGAAGGAGGGTGTGACTCGGCCAGAGGCTCCAGCTAACACCAGGTGTCTGCGCTCCATTCTCAGGAAGAGCTTCAAACGCCAGGGTACCGGGACAAGATCCAAGTGGGAGGGCACTGGAGGCCACCATCCATGGGCTTGAAGAAGGGAACTGACATAATACAGCCTAGCACTCTAGGGCGCGGGGACACCTTACAGGAGAAAGGCACGGGGAATGGGTGTGAGGCGGAAGCCATCAGAACAGTGCAGGTAGGGGCCGGGGAGATGGCTCAGTGGAATAAGCGCTTTCCTGGCAAGCACAAGGGCCTGAGTTCAATCCCTGGTTCCGCCAAAAAAAAGGAACAGTGTAGGTGAGAGAGGACGGATGCGTCCACTGCCTGCTCTGCGCAGCAGCCTCTGAGCACGCGGTGGGAGCTGGCATGGCAAGAAGTGGATGGATTCCAGACATGTTACAGGCAACATAGTAACTGACAAGGGTTAATGCAATGGTTAAAATCTATCATTTACTGAGAATTTAGGAATGTATTAGGCACCTTGTGAAATACATTATGGTTTAAATACGATTACGCAAGTTTTTGTGGTTTTTTGTTTTTTGTTTTTTTTTTTGCAGTACAGGGGATTGAATTCAGGTCCCTGCGCTTGCCAAGCAAGCGCTTATTCTACTAAGCTATCTCCCCGGGCCCTATGCAAGTTTTAAATATATTAATGTTTTACTTTATAAAAAAATTAAGATTTTGTCCAAACTGGCAAAACTTCAGCAGATGAGCAAAGGCGTGCTGCCGTGTTCCCATCGTCGCCACAAGGGGGTGCCAATTTCGGTGGTATAAAGAAAAGCTTATCTTTTGTTGGGATTTGTTCTCAAGGCGAGAATTCCCGATCGTTTGAACTACCCAGCCTAAGCTTTGTCCTACAGTGCATAAAAAGTGTATTCTATTTTCTCCCCATTCTTAATTTTTGAGGTGGCTATCCCACTTCGGAAGAAATCCTAGAGCGGGGGAGCGCATGGCTGTACACACAGTGGTCAGTGTCTGCTAGGAACGTCATAAACAGTCAAAAATGATCCGAAAAGTCATCAGCTGGTCTCCATCTGTTCAGAGGCAAGGGCACAATGTCCCTTATTTTCTGGTCTGAGAGGTCTCGGCCATAAACTACTAGGACAGCAGGGACATCACGGGGCACGACGCCTTGGGAGACGGGGTCACAGCACCGTCACAAAGCACTGCTCCCGGCTGGAACACAAAGAGCTCCCGCCTGCGGACGCCCACACCCGCAGGGAGGCGTGGATGGAACCTTTCTAGAAAACGGGGGCGGAGCACTTACCTAACGAGAGAATGCCCCCGAGTCTGCGCACTTCGGCCCGGCACGCCCCTTCCGTACAGCAGTTGGCTAGGATGCTGAGCGCCAAGTCCAGCGTCTTGCGCAGGCGCACTGGAGGCGAAGGCGAAGCCGGCGCCACTGCAGGCGAGGCGGGGCTGGGGGAAGGGGAGGCGGAGGGACCAGCAGAAGCAGCTGACGCAGCAGACGAGGGGGCGGAGCCTGGGCCTGCGCACGCCGGGGCGGGGGCCGCCGCAGCCGCTCGCCGCAGCAGAGCGAGAAGGGGGCGGAGTCCGCCGCGTGCCCGGAAGCGCTCGATCCCCCCCGCTGCTTTGATGTGGCGCGTGCGAAGAGCCAAGAGCGCACGACCTAGGGGTGTCTCGTTGGCAGCCGGGTCCTTTCCCCCACCAAGGCCCTCCCCTGCCGCCGCTGTGAGCTGCGCGAGGCAAAACGAGAGCGAGTCCGTGAGGGTCGCTTTCGCAGCCGCCATCTTGGCTCGGGCCTCAGGCTCCGCCCCGTCTCTCCTGGCTTATCCGGGAGCGGAACTGTGAGGGGGAGGCGTGGCCAGGCTACTCCTCCCCGAGGGTGTTTAATTGGCGCAGCCGCAGTGATCCCTGGAGTCGGAAGTTGCTGGTCTTGATTCCGGAAATGCGGTTCTGGTACAGTCGCAGGCGCTTAGCGATTGGTAGTCATCAAAGCTGTTCGTGGACCTGACAGGCGCGTGAGATGCGTTCTGGGATATGTAGTCTGCGCTGATTTGAATCTGTTTAGAACATAAGATTGGTTTTAAGGGGACCAGACCTTACTTTTCTACTATAAATTTATACTATTAATAGTACCCCGCTGCGGATCTCAGTACCTTTGCCTGAGAGATACAGAAAGCAATCTATGTGTTTACTCACTTGGTATGATAAACAGCAAGGAGTGTATGTGTGTGCAAAAGTGTCAAACCAGGATTTGCACCCATAGGATGCTCCATCTAAGTTTTGACATATTTTTACCTGAGCATCAAAGAGGGTCTAATCCACTCCAGGATTTGGGGCGGGGGAGTCCTTTGATTTTGCTGATAGAAATAGCCCAATTCAGTACAATGGCACATGAGAAAATAGATTTACGAGTTTCGGAGGAGGTCAAAGGTGGGTCATCAGATTACTCGTGCATAGATGATGAAGAAGATCCATTATGGTAAAATACCTGCTTTCATAATAGAAGAGTAGTGTGGATGTGTGATGGCGAAGACTTTGACATTGGTCATGTGAGCAAAGTCCCTCTGAGAATGAAATGGAACAAGAATTGATGGATACACAAGGAATGCCGACCTCCTTGATTCAGATGATAAAGAAAACAGCAAAGTGAAAATATGTTTGATTAGTCCAAATTTTGTGAAATGGCCCTGCACCCAAATGGAACTATCCAATGTGAGAACTAAGCCTGCAAATATAGTGCGGGTCTTGGCGGGGGTCAAATGTATCAAACAGAATGCCAGTGCTACCATCCAGTGTTGGAAATTGTAACAGACAAGATGCTGTGAAAAACACAAAGGTTGAAGGACAAGTAGGATGTTCTGTATGCACCAATAATCATATTCATCCGTGTTTCTATGGCACCTCACTAGCTGAACTGAAAGCATTTATACATCTACTGTTCTTAGCGTGGATTTCTTACAGTGATCACAGTAAAGACTTACAGAAAAGTGACGGGTCAAATATGGCATAAAATATGCTCTTGTAGATATGAAGGCTTACTGTGTTTTTGATTTATATATTTATTCTGGAACTTAGCCACCAAGTCCTTATTTGTATAGTAATAAACTGAATGATGTGAGCAGACTTCCTCCCATCTCCCAAACTAATTGGAATGTGACATTCAACAGCTGGTTTGCTAGTTTCCAGTTGATGTTATATTTGTTAACATTGACTGCCACAGAAACTGTACACAAGAACAAAAGAGAAAGTCTAAATGAAATGTTGTAATTTCAAAAATTGGAGAATCATATAGTACAATCTTTGCATTTCAGAAAGATTTACATTAGCTTCATATATGGCAAAGAAAAACAAACTGGTACTGCTGATGTCAACATTGCCCCATGGGGTTGGGGAGATAGTGCAGCAGTCTAAGTGCCTGCCTGGCAAGCACAAGGATCTGGGTTCATTCCCCAGTAATGTGTGTGGTGCCAGCCCCAGAACCCTGGGTGTGCCAGGGGTATGGGGCCCGCCTATAATCCCTGGGGAGGCTGAGACAAGAGGATCACTATGAGTCCAAGCTGCATACCAAGACCCTGTATCAAATACATGCATACGTGATTTAAAACATTTTTTAAAAAAATTAAATATTGCACTATGATAGAAATATTTCTAGGGAAACCTCAACAAGATGGAAGCCTGAGATGGACACAAAACCAAAGATGGAGTAGATGCTGTTGATGAGTTATGCAGCAGCTATGATGTCTCTTGAAACACAAACCACTAGCCAATGGTTTTGTTTTACTTGATCCTGAACATGTGTGGCATAAATCATTTGATATTTTTACAAAGAAAGTAGCAAGTGCAACATTTAGAGAAATTTTCTTAGAGGACTGGAACTGGAACTCAGATCATTTACAGCAGAGAAAAACCCAGGTGCTTCTGCCCAAGGAACTACACAAAAAATTGTGGAGCACGCTGGTGAGCTGATGAGGGAACAAGCAGGGGCAGCATCCCCAAGACCCACTGTGACAGCAGGAAACCCCAAACGATGTCGTCTGTGCCCTCCAAGAAAGGACAGGAAAAGAAAACATACATGTTATCAGTGTAAGTGGAACTTGTGTATGGACGTGCAGTTGTCATCTGTGAAGCCTGCCTTGGGTGTGACAGTGGTATTTTCATTGTAGTCCATATAGGAATTTATTTCTGATGTTGTTTCTTAGACTTTGTGCACTAAAAGCCAGTTGATAGTGAAAATTTTGATGCTTTTTATTAATATGCAATAAATATTAAAAACAATACTTTTTGTACTTTTAAGTACCCATTGTTTAATATAATAAAACTTATAAAATTAAAAATTCATCAGTGGAAATATTCTAAAGAATCGACGTGAGTCTGACTGACCCATGGCATGTCCTCAGGAGTAACCATCTTTTGTCCTTCAGACTAACTTGGTCACCCCCAGGTCATCTGGAGCCCCAAAATACGAGCTGGAGAACCCCTAAGCAGGCAGGTAGTGTCAAGATCCTGACAGTGGCTGAGAACTGGGGAGCTCTTGCCCAGCTGGGTGAGTGAGGATTAAACCCACCACGGATGTTCGCTGCCACTTCCTAGAGTGCCACGGCATGTGGACCTTTCTATTCCAGAGCTGGAACTCTCTAAGTCCTGAGTGTCCTTTGGTCTGCTTTTGCTTGTGAACTGAGTGCTTGGAATCTAGGAAATGGGGTGCATGTCTCCTGCAGTGGAATCCATGTAGCCACATCTGGACAGGGCAGATCTGCAGGAGGACCAAGCTCAGGATTCCCAGGACAGCCCCCAGCCCCTGGTAGTTCCTGGATGTGGGAAACCGCCATGCTCCTCTCTCTTGAGAAATGAAAAGCCCTTGCCTCGATCTCTCCCTGACCTCTCCTCAATCTCCATTCACTGAGATGTGTAGAGAGAGTCCAGCTCAGGCACCAGTGATGTCACCAACAGCCAAGTGGCAACAAGGGAGTGAGGACAGCCCCCGTGTTGATGGCTGGACTGGAGGCCTGAGCAGGAGCTGCAATTCCAGGGCTAAGACATGAGATTACATCTTAAATGAGGCCGTGGGACTCGGAAAGAATGATACCTTCCTGGCAGTACAGATGCCAGCCTTGCATACTTCAAAACTATCTGCGCATTGCTAATTGAAGGCCTCTGTGCCTGGTACGGCTACACAGTCTCGTCTATGCACTCTGTCGCAGCACCCCCCACCTCCCTGATTGATGCTAATAAAAGTCGTGAGCTTTTAAGCTTTCTTTTTATTTTATTTATTTATTTATTTATTTATTTATTTGTTTAGTGTGCGTTTTCATGTGTGTGTGTGTGTGTGTGTGTGTGGCGCCAGCTCAGCCCACCAGGGGGCGGAGCTGGCTGGCATGTGGTGCTGCGGGATTGAACTGTGGTCCCTGTGCTTTGCTTTGCTAAGCTTGTTCTAAGTAGGTGCTTTAGACCACTGAGCCATCTCACCAGCCCCAAAGTCATGAGCTTTTAGAAACGAGTCCTTTTGTTCCACAGAAAACCACTAGGTCATCCTAGATCTCCTCAGCTACAGAATGTTCTTTTTTTCTTGTGCCATACTGCTGGGTGGCTTAGACTGATACCCTCAGTAGAGGCATGGGCACCAGGATTGCGAGGCCCCTAGGCAGTGCTGCTGGTCCTGTAGTACTTGTGTAAGTCAGGATTTGGGGAGCAAGCCCCTGCCCAAGCAGTGTAATAGCAGAAGGTTGGGGGTGGGCATTCTTCACCTCCAGAGGGGAGCCCAGGGAAGGCTGTGTTCTGGCAGAGGGACCAGAGGAGTTGTGCCTGGGACTGTTACATAAGCACTGAGGTGTGTAACCCAACTGAAAGGTCTCAAATCGCAGGAGACAACTATCTTTACTGTTGAGGCTACCAGTGCAACCCAGGGCGAAAGTAAAGGACCCGGAAAGCTATAGGAGTTAAGGGGATGCTTCGTGGCATTTCCAAGCAGAGACAAAGTCCACATATTTGTCATCTGTCCTTACCCTCCTAAGCTCCTTAGGGTCTTTCCTATATCAATAGAGGAAAATATGAAGATTCATTTGTCCCTGGGTGTTGAAAACTGAATATGACTCTTTCTTTTGCCATTGACAAAGGATGTTCACACAAATGCCTTTCTTCTTTCTTTCTCTCTTTTTCTTTCTTTCTTTCTTTCTTTCTTTCTTTCTTTCTTTCTTTCTTTCTTTCTTTCACGGGATCATGTTTAGTGGTGCAGATTGGCTTTGAACTCAATATGCAGCCCAAGTTGGCCTCAAACTCATAACTATCCTCCTGCCTCAGCCTTCCAAGTACTGGAGTTACAGGCACATGCCACCATGCTTTGCTGAATTTATTTCTTAAGTGTTTAAAAATATCTCCTTTGGGCTGGAGAGATGGCTCAGTGGTCTAAAGCACCTACTTGGAACAAGCTTGGCAAAGTACAGGGAACGCGGTTCAATCCCCCAGCACCACATGCCAGCCAGCCCTGCCCCCTGGTGGGCTGAGCTGGCCACACACACACACAATAAATAAATGTAAAAAATAAATAAATAAACAGCGGAATATATAAAAAATATATATATATATATCTCCTTTATGTAATCTTTATAGCTTCTTGTGGAGTCTCCATCTGACAGAACCTTGAAGCACAGAGACTAACTTGCTAGAGATAAGGCTTAGGTTCAAACTGAAGCAGCCTGAACCTGGAGTTCATCATCTTAAGTAGTCAATATACTCCAGGAGTGAAGAACAAGGGGCCTCTGGGTGTTTGGAAAATAATTGTCCAAACACAAGCTCCCAAGCTCACGTA